CCTGGGCAACTGCCAAAGAGGGGAATGTCCAAAATGTGCAGAGTTTCCCACCGGAAGCTGCTCACAAATGGCCCTGCTGCTATTACGGGGGGAAACACTAGCGTAGTAGTGGAAAGTGGAGCGTCGCGGATTCGTCGGAACAATCTTAAGAATCGATGTGAACAAGCTGTCTTGTCGAGTCGAGTATCGAGGCAGGCTAGCAGAGATTCTTTGAGCAAGGGCAGGCTAGCAGAGTCACTCATGGAAGCTCCGAAAATAGCGATTAGGGCAAACTAGCAGCGATTATTTGCGGAAATGCCGAAAATGGAATCGCGCGTCTCAAAATACCGAAACATACCTTATTCAATAATTTCCAGCCATATTCCGCGGGTGTTCGCGTCCTCTACTCGACGTGTTGCCGACCGGAGCGTCGCGTATGCGAACCTGGGCTGACCTGTCTACGCGCCACCGTCGACGCGCCGAATTTAAAGTTTATTCTGTCAGGTATCTACGTTCTCGCTTTAATATGCCGAATTTAATTCCGCGCGACTTCGCACAGTGGGTAGAGCAGCCGCTCTTCAATCTCGAGCCCAAGGGTTCGATTTCTGGGGCCGTAAAACTTTGCTTTTTGTTCAGAAGTCGAGTTTTCGCTTTTTTTAGTGGGTCCGAGAAGTTTTTCTGATCCCTCTGGCTTTAGTCAGCTGGCGCAGTCGGTAGAGCAGCCGCTTTCAAAACTGAAGCCCGAGGGTTCGGATTTTCGGGCCGTCAAATTTTTGCTTTCTGCTTAAGAACTTCAATTTTGCTTTCCTTCGTAGATCCAAAGAAGCTGGACCCCAAAAATCAATCCTCTGGCCCCTATTTTCTAATGTTTATTTTTTGCGGAAGGGCATACGTGGTGGGGGCAGCTGGTTTCCGTGGGCTTGATGACGCGGCTCGTCCCCCTACCCCCCATTTTGACGGCTCATTTCTCCGGCCGTTTTACTGGCTGTCCCTTGAACGAAAAGCCATCGGAGAAGCTATAGAGAAGCACATCTGGCAATTTGTGACCCGCCAGCTAAACATCAAAAGGGGGTTTATTCAGCACGAGAGTCCTGCAGTGGGGGGGGGGGTTGAAAAGTTGGCGTTGTCGTCATCACCTACTACTGGTGCGATTTCAAAGGGAAGTTGATTAAAGGGGCCGGGAGGTCTGAAAAATTTGGGGGGATTTACTTCCTCAATGATCACTGCCAGCCTGCCCTCGCTTCCTCAATGATCTCTGCTAGCCTGCCCTTGATTCCTAATGACATCTGTTAGCCTGCCAAGCATTTAAATGATACCTGCTAGCCTGCCCCCTCTTCCTAAAAGATCTCTGCTGGCCTGCTCTCTCCCCCCTCTCTCTCTCTCTCTCTCTCTCTCTCTCTCTCTCTCTCTCTCTCTTTCTTCTTTCTCTCCTCTCTCTCTCTCTCTCTCTCTCTCTTGCTCTCTCCCTTTAAAGGTACCATCAAGCTAACCGGATTTTTGGATTCTCCAGAGATTCGCTCTTGCAAAAACTCTCCCCGAAAATCGTTTCAATGTGTGGGCGTCCGGCAGGTGTTTTCTTCAATCGAGCCGGGGAGAGGCCGTTTGGGAGGGGAAATTCGATTTGGGCCGGATTTGGGGGCGGCCGCTGTTCCGCAGCATTCCGATTTACAAGATGATGGGGAGGGGGAGATGGGGGGACAAGTGTTTTGGGCTAGGAGAAGGCTCTAGGGGGAATGCTTAGAACTACAGCATAAACCGGAAAATGCTAAAACCGGACAATCAAAATACCGAAAGGTCAAAGCTCCGGAAAGCCACTTGTCAAAAAGCAAAAAAATCACCGGCCGGGGGTCGAACCAGGGCCATCTAGGCTGCCAACTAGCGCATTACCATTTAGCCATAGGATTTACCTCCATTCTTTTGCTTAAAACTCGTTTAAGGGCTTAGAAAAGTGCGCAAAAATGGGCGTGGTTTTTGAATTGCCTTCCCAGTCCCTTTAAGCCCCCGGTTTCAGGCTGCCACCCTCCGGAAGACGGTCTCGTAGGCTGTGAGACTCACCCCATCCCTCACTTCAACGCCACGCTCCGCCGATGCGTCTGTCTGGACGAGAGGTGTCAGAGGGACTTTCCGAAGCCGAGCAGTAGGTTCTAACGCCAGGAATTTGCCTTCCACGTCCCGTTAAAGCGCTATATATGCTAATTTCTAGAAGATTGCGGGCCAACACCGAGTGTACCATACCCAAAAGTGGACCCTGACGACAACCTCTTCACAAATTTGATCAACAATATTGAGGAATCGGATGAGAAACGGACAGGTTAGTACTGTAGTTACAGTATTTTTACGGTTAGACTACATTAACTGGCTACAGTAATATCCTCACATTATTCCGAAAATCGTCAATTACGGCGAATACCCGAATTTCCAGAAAATTCCGTCGAGTTCCGGTCATCAGAAGAGGAGTATCGGTCGTTGAGGGAACGGGAGAAGCCGGCGAAGGTAAGCAGGCTAGCAGAGATCAATGAGGAGGCGTGCAGGCTAGCAGAAATCATTGAGGAAGAGAGGGCAGGCTAGCAGATATCATTGAGGAAGGGAGGGCAGGCTAGCAGATATCATTGAGGAAGCGAGGGCAGGCTAGCAGAGATATTGAGGAAATGAGGGCAAACTAGCAGAGATTTTGAGGGTCTTTTATGCGTTATACAATTCTATTTTAGACCCCAAACCACGAGCGAGCTTCATCTGAGCGTGGCTATCAGCCTTCCCCAGTCCAAAGCCCAAGCTACTACCGAAAAACGACAACGAACGAAAAATTGGCAAGCCGAACGTCAGCGGCTGCTCAGCTTTTCTCATTTTCTCTCGCTGTCTCCCTATTTTTCTCCATAAATCTGTGATCATGCCGTTTAGATTCTCACCAAAATACGGGTCCGTTTTGCATAATTGATATTTTTATCTAGAACCGATCGTGATTTTGTGTAGTTTGTAGCATACTACTGTATCTATCAGAGATTGCCTTCCGGAATCCCGAATGGACCCGCGATTCTACTTCCATATCCGTTGCTCACCTATTAATTTGTGTTTTTGGGTTGATAAATGTATTTTTTGAGAATTGTGTTGTACGCAAAAAACTCTGCTAGCCTGCCCTTCCTCAAAGAATCTCTGCTAGCTTGCCCTTCCTCAAAGAATCTCTGCTAGCCTGCCCTTCCTCAAAGAATCTCTGCTAGCTTGCCCTTCCTCAAAGAATCTCTGCTAGCTTGCCCTTCCTCAAAGAATCTCTGCTAGCTTGCCCTTCCTCAAAGAATCTCTGCTAGCTTGCCCTTCCTCAAAGAATCTCTGCTAGCCTTGCCCTTCCTCAAAGAATCTCTGCTAGCCTGCCCTTCCTCAAAGAATCTCTGCTAGCCTGCCCTTCCTCAAAGAATCTCTGCTAGCCTGCCCTTCCTCAAAGAATCTCTGCTAGCCTGCCCTTCCTCAAAGAATCTCTGCTAGCTTGCCGTAAATGAGAAATCAATATGAAAAACGGAAACCGATGCGTCAGGAAAGCAGTACGCCGATTTATGCGTCAGTTTCCTAGCCAAAACAATGCGATATTCATTTAAAAAAATATGCTTGAAATCCAGACTGTTTTCCTACACCGTTTCGTTCCTTCGGTTAATTTTGGCGGCTTCAAATTTCATCCAAAATTGCCTAAATGTGTTATGATATCTCTAACAGCGTGCCCTGTACATAGTAAATAAACGCATAGAAATGTATTTTTTCAGAATTACAGTAATTATAGCCTGATTTAGGTACCCTCTTGTTCTACCTTGGTGTTGGAGCAGTTAACATTGATTTGTTTCGCCTTAAAAAACGTAATCGAACATCAGAATTTTTTACAACGATTTTTTATGTGAGAATGGCGCATCAAGCGTGCCAAAATTCGTATTCAACCCCCGCTTCCGGAAAGCTATAGATCTGGGGCTGGCAGGGTTCCGGAATTCTGCATAATATTGAGCTGGATCTAACTAAAGCCAGCTTTATAGCTACATTTCACCAGAAACACTATACCAATCACGCTGAAAATTTGCGAGTACGAAACAATGCTGCTTCCGCACCTGTTCGCCAAATTTCATGAAAATCGGATATAATTTGACAATTTTATGATGCTTAGAATTTGCCGTCAATTCAGGTGCGCCAAAAAAGGCCTGACTCATATGCAAAAATCAGTGTCATTAATGTGCAAAGTTGTTGACCCTTCCTGGGTGCATAGTATTGTAGTGTAGCGCATTGTTGTGCCTGCGCGCGCTCGAGTATTTTGTGGCTGGTGCTCGCTGCGAGGCCGTACTCCCTGGAAATGCTGCAGGGTCTATCTCCCCCTCTCTCTCTCTCTCTCTCTCTCTCTCTCTTTCTCTCTAGCTCTCTCTCTCTCTCTCTCTCGAGTACAGAGCAGAGTTGATTGTTCGCTCATCGGTAGCGATCATCACCTATCAATTCCGCCCATCTATCACCCCCAATCATACTCATTATTTCCGCCCCAGCCTCCTATTAACGATATTGATTTGTACTACTTTTCTCGCTGTTATAGCCCCAGGGTATAATACGGAAATTACGCCTTTTAGTTCGTCCATATCACAAGTGTTCCTGGGTTCGTAGTTTTCTGGTATACCAATAAGATTCCCAAAATGCCCTTCCCCTAGGAATCTCTGCTAGCCTCCCTTTCCTCAAAGAACCTCTGCTAGCCTGCCCACCCTGCTTGAAGATGTTCTGGGCATATTCCTTAAGGTCCTTTGCAAACAACCATTTCCCGGAAAAAAAAAATTTTCTTTTTTTTTTTTTAAATTTTTTCGTAATGTCGTTATCGCCGTTAAAGCCCGATAACTTAGTAAGTCAGGGTACGGTACCCCATAAAACGTCTCGGTACACTGATCGAAACTAAATTTTGCGTTTTTCCATGCCAGTTTTTTTGTTCCGCGGTTTTCTAACTAGAAAATTCCGCTAAAGAAACCTTCCGATTTCCTACACGTCTTTACTCTACTATTTTCAGTCGCTAAACCATGCCTCGCTCAATGTTCTGGGCGTTCCTCGGCCTACTGCTCCATATGCAAATTGCTGACGGGATCTCGGCAAAATATCAGCAGGAGAGGTGGGTTTTAAAAAGCGGGTGTTTTCAAGTTTAAATGCTAGAAAAAAGCAAAGTCAGAAAGAGAGAGCAAGAGAGATAGAGATGAGAAACAGTTATGTTTTTAGTAGCTCATCGGAAGAAGAAGACAGTAACTGGCAGTGTGGGACGGATTTTATTACAAAGGCGATGAGCGAGGGGCAGGTGGAGACGGATTGTCCCACGCTTAAAGGTGAGTGGCGAGCGATCTATAGCTCTCTCCCTCCGTCACTTACTCTCTGTCTCACTGTCTCTCTGTCTCTCGCTCTCTAGCTCCCACTGACTCTCTCGCTCTCTCTCGCTCGCTCTCTCTGCCTCTCTCTATCCTTCCTAGCCAAACCAGAATTGACTCCTGAAGGCAAGCAAGCAAGATCTTTTAGGAAATTTGATCCTACGATGTAAAATTTTTACAGTCCCAATCAACAATTGCTGCCTGGCCCACGATAACTGCTACGATCAGCAACTTGGGCGGAAGTACTGTGACGACATTTTCTGCCATTGTCTATTGGTGCGGCTAAAAAATACGTTATCTACCGTAACCCTAGGTGGCCACTGAACCTGCCGAGATCTGTTTTAAAGAGGACGCGCCGCTGTTCTGCAGTCTGGTCCGACAATTCGGGGAGGCGGCTTATAAGTAAGGGCTATCTCTGTCTCTCTCTCTCTCTCTCTCTCTCTCCTCCTTCTTCTCCCCTCTCCTTCGATGCTCGCTCTCAATATAGTTTCTCCCCTCTCTCTCTCTCTCTCTCTCTCTCTCTCTCTCTCTCTCTGCTGTCTCTCTATATCTCTCACACAGCTTTCTCTCTCTTTCTTTCTCTCTCTCTCGTCCATAGTCAATTTTTTTCAGCGCTTCCGGTCCCCTCGCTAGAGCTACACCTCCACCCCCACTCGCCACTACGGTAGCCACAGCACCGACGAGGCAAAATACCCGCCAGCCCGGATATTCAAGGCCCAAACTCGTCCCTATCGACACAAACGTTGGGGCTGCTCAACCTGTGCAGCCTGTTCAGCCGGCACAACCTGTTCGCCCTGTTCAGCCCATTCACCTTGTTCACCCGGCCGGACCCAGGACTCGCTCTCAAAGGTGAGAAAGTAGTTTTAGACCCCATGCACTAATGGCAGGGCGGGGAAAGATGAACTGCACGTTTTTCTAAGCCGTCTCTGCTGTACTCCTTTAAAACGTCATTTTTCAGGTTCACCCCAGCCAATTAGCCAAGGCTCGACGCTCAACAGCTCCATTCGTAAGGTTTTTGCCAGAATTTACGTTACAAATCGCGGGTATATCATAAAGTTTTTTGCCAAAAATTGATCTAAACTGCAGGGAAATAAAGAGATATAGAGAGAAAGAGCAAGAGAGAGAGAGAGGGGCAGAGAGACAGAGAGAGATAGAGAGAGAGAGAGAGAGAGAGGGGGGCAGAGAAGAGAGTAGAGAGAGAGAGAGAGGAGAGAGAGAGAGAGAGAGGAGAGAGAGGCAGAGAGAGAGAGAGAGAGAGAGAGAGAGAGAGAGAGGCAGAGAGAGAAAGGCGAGAGAAAGAGATTCAAAGATTTACAACATGTCGTATATCTCTGTCGGGCGCCAGTGATTTTATTCACCATTAAAAGGCTCGATTATCGAAAAAATGCCGAAATCTCACTTTTTGCGGGACAATATGATGGTCGCGGTCTTTGTGGCACTCTTGCTCGTAGGACCGGCTTATTCGTAAGTTTCTTCACAGGCTGATTACATGCAGGGCTCAAACCTAAGCCCTAAGCCTAAGCCTAAGCCGAAGCCTTGTTGGAAAAACTGGACCGCAATTAGTGAACAGTTATTCCACAACAGAGTACCGGACTGGTGGCAATGCGGAAGCAACGACGCCAACAGGCTAGCCGCTTACGAGTCCATCGACGGCGCCTGTTCGGTGCTGGCTGGTCAGTCGGTTTAAAGGTCCCCCCCCCCCTTGGGGGGGCCCCCGCCCCCCCGCCCCCCCCCCCCCCCGGGCCCCCCCCCCCCCCCCCCGCCAATAAACCTTTCCTTTCTCCCCTTCTCCCCCCCTCCTTTCTTTTCCCAATCCTATTAATTAAATCAAAAACCCTATTTTTTTTTTTGAGTTTTTCTTTAATGTTGCGCTCTTTATTTTTTATTTTAAATTTTCCCCCCAAAAAACCCCCACCCCAAAAAAAAAAAAAAGGGGGTGGGTCGCCCCCCCCCCCCCCCCGCGCCAATTTCAAAAAAAAAAAAACCCCCCCAAAAAGGCCTTTGTTTGCGGTCCGAGCCCCTTTAAAGCTATTGGTGGTGATAAGTATTGCAGAGGTTGTCAACAACTGCTGCCTCGCCCACGATCATTGCTATTCGAGACAGTTAGGGCAGGAATATTGCGACGATATGTTTTGTGACTGTCATTTGGTGAGCAAAACAGAGAGAGAGAGAGAAGAGTAGAAAAGGAGAAAAGAGAGGGAGAGAGAGGGAGCAGAGAACGAGAGCGAAACGAAGAGAAAAAGGATACCGTTACCCGTTATTTAGATTGCCACAAAAGGCTGGTTTATTTGTCATACAGTAGTCGTCCCGGGCTTCTGCTCCCTGGTCCGGAATTTTGGCGATGCCGCGTACAAGTTTGTTCACCTGGCTTTTCCAAGATCTATATGGTTTTTAGAGCATCAGCTACTCCCGGGCCAAAGGCACTACTGCCACCCGGAGATGCGCAACATCAAGGAGACTCCACTCATTCCTGAAATTCCTGGGATAAACCTGTTCAAAAATTATTCGATCCCATGCTCCGGAATTCAAGAGCGATTCTAAATCATCATCGACGCGCCGATTGCATATTCAACCCCTTGTGACGATTTACCGTCCATTAAAATGCTCTTCGATACCCGAAAAATCCTGGAATATCATTTTTTGCGGAGGCAGCATGGTGGTTGCGGCTTTTTTGGCGTTACTGCTCGTCGGGCCGATATTCTCCCAGATGGCTACCGGAGTTGTGGGTGACGTTAAAGCACTGGACAATCCTAGGCCTAACAAGAAGTGCCCTTTTTTTAGTCATCGGCGAAACCTTTCGCGAGATAGCTAATTCTATAGAGAATTCAATTCTGAACAAGCTATCGCTGTCCATTTTTGCGGAATGGCTGTCTCTGATTTTATAAAACTAGTGGATTCTCTTACCATGAGTGCCCTTCGAGCCAAAAGAGACGCTTTCGGGTGCCGTTTTTAAATGTTATAAAATCATAGACAGCCATTCCGCAAAAATGACCATGTTCATAATTCAATTGCGCTGGGTCGCGAAAGGTTTTGCCGATGACACCATAAGGGCACTCCTTGTAAGCCTAAGCCTAAACCTCAGCCTAAGCATATGTCTATGCCTAACAAGTCCCTACCGGTTGTAAGCCTAAGCTTAATCTTATGTAAGCATGCAAGCGCCGAGCTGGTGGCAGTGTGGAAGCGATTCGGACAACAAAGCAGTCAGCTATCGCGAGGTCCAGTTGTCCTGTTCCTCCGGAATGCACAGTAAGTGAAGGAGAGAGATAGAGAGAGAGAGAGAGAGAGAGAGAGACAAAGTGTGTCAGTCATTTCAAACATTTTATACAGGAGTTTTCAACAACTGCTGCCTGGGCCACGATCATTGCTATAATAGGCAGCTGGGACAGAAACATTGCGACGAGCTCTTCTGTAAATGTCTTGATGTGGGTGCTAGAGATAGATGGATAAATACAGAGAGAGATACATTGGGAGAAACATTGAGAGAGAGGGCGAGCGAGAGAAAGAGTTTCACACATTTAGATCATCACCGAAGGAACCACGCTATGCCGTAAGGGTGCGGCGAACGAGTTCTGCTGGGCGGTCGAAAAATATGGCAAGAAGGCATACGAGTTCGTTAATGATACAGCTCGTCATATAGTTGCCTTGCTTTATTTTAGCTTGGCTTTATTTTTAGCTTTATCTTTATTTTTATTTTTAAATTTCAGCGCATCGGCCACGCCTCGACCAAACGCAATACAGCTAGACGGAGCTGTGCTCCATGCGGGAAAACCATCTTAGAGCCGGAAACTTCTGAAATAAAGCGTTCGAGACATCCTTGAATTAAACTGTGTGTCCACGGATCCAAATAGCTACCAATAAATGATTGAAAACAGCTATAGCGGAGATCATTGAGGAAGCGAGGGCAGGCTAGCAGGGAACTTGAGGAAACCGGGAGGGGCTGTTTTGGGCTAGTTCCTCAAGTATCTTTGCTAGCTTTCGTTATCGGGCCTGGGCTTTAGAATTAGACTTGGCAAAGTTTCAATCCAGCGAGATATTTGCAAGCTGAAGCGGTGGAATCTTCTCTCTCTCTCTCTCTCTCTCTCTCTCTCTCTCTCTCTCTCTCTCTTTCTCTATCTTGCCCTATATCCGCACTCAATCCATCTCAACTTTTGCAGTTTCCGGGGGTTGGGCCAGTCTTTGTGAGGACAAATAGAGCGAACGGCATGCCAAAGCCCTATCCCCCCTCGCTAAGCACATCAAACCGATCCGCCCAATCGACCGGCCCGAGATCCTTTTGCTCTAATTTTTCTTTTGCTAACCCTTTGGTCCTCCTTTCTCCACCTCCACTTTCCATTCCACAACACACAACAGCCGGGGATCGGGGGCCCTGGGGCCCAGGGGCCCTGTGTTTTTTCTCTCGCCCAGCTTTTCCTATACCCAACGGCTGGGGGCTTGGCCTAAAGCTTTTGCCTTTCTGCAGCTTACCTGGCTGCCCATGGGGTGAACTAATCGATGAGGGTTTGCGCATTAATGCTACTTTAACGGCTAAATTTTTAAGACGTTTTATGCTAATTATTAACTGTTTTATTGGTTCTATGGCATTATCGGGGGCGGGGTCGATCGGAACCTTACCAAAAAAAACGCTTTAGAAACACTTCACGACTGATGTTTTGAAAAACTAAATCCTTAGAAAAATTCTGACCCCCCCCCGGTAATGCCAAAGTACCGTTTTATTTATTAAGTAAGGTACCGAATAATGCCGAATTCGAATTTTTTTTACGATTTTTGGTGAATTTGAAGCATTTTGATACGATTTGTTTATTTCAACCTTAAAACCTTGAAACTATGCAAATTTTCGATTTCTCACTTCACAAATTTTGTGATATTGAAAGCTCCCTTCTTCGAATTTTAACTTATGCAAACTTTACGTCCTTCGCCATAGCCAATTTTCACTGTTTTGCTGCTTGAATATGTTTTCCAGCTTTAATTTTTGATGTTTCGATTTCCAAAAAAACCCCGAGTTTCGTCGATATTGTAGCTAATTCAGATTCACTATCATTATTTTTTAATGTTTACAATTTTGATCCAGACGGCGATCGGCGATCCCGTTCTCGACGGTGGGTCCCACGGCCAGAGATGGCCAGCCGTCGACAGAGGGATTTTGATCGGAAATATTCTCAATACCGGTGAGTCGCTTTCTCAAAGAACCTCTGCTAGCCTGCCATTCCTCAAAGAATCTCTGCTAGCCTACCTTTCCTCAAAGAATCTCTGCTAGCCTACCTTTCCTCAAAGAATCTCTGCTAGCCTACCTTTCCTCAAAGAATCTCTGCTAGCCTACCTTTCCTCAAAGAATCTCTGCTAGCCTACCTTTCCTCAAAGAATCTCTGCTAGCCTACCTTTCCTCAAAAGAATCTCTGTAGCCTACCTTTCCTCAAAGAATCTCTGCTAGCCTACCTTTCCTCAAAGAATCTCTGCTAGCCTACCTTTCCTCAAAGAATCTCTGCTAGCCTACCTTTCCTCAAAGAACTCTGCTAGCCTACCTTTCCTCAAAGAATCTCTGCTAGCCTACCTTTCCTCAAAGAATCTCTGCTAGCCTACCTTTCCTCAAAGAACTCTGCTAGCCTACCTTTCCTCAAAGAATCTCTGCTAGCCTACCTTTCCTCAAAGAATCTCTGCTAGCCTACCTTTCCTCAAAGAATCTCTGCTAGCCTACCTTTCCTCAAAGAATCTCTGCTAGCCTACCTTTCCTCAAAGAATCTCTGCTAGCCTACCTTTCCTCAAAGAATCTCTGCTAGCCTACCTTTCCTCAAAGAATCTCTGCTAGCCTACCTTTCCTCAAAGGATCTTTGCTAGCCTACCTTTCCTCAAAGAATCTCTGCTAGCCTACCTTTCCTCAAAGGATCTCTGCTAGCCTACCTTTCCTCAAAGAATCTCTGCTAGCCTACCTTTCCTCAAAGAATCTCTGCTAGCCTACCTTTCCTCAAAGAATCTCTGCTAGCCTACCTTTCCTCAAGAATCTCTGCTAGCCTACCTTTCCTCAAAGAATCTCTGCTAGCCTACCTTTCCTCAAAGAATCTCTGCTAGCCTACCTTTCCTCAAAGGATCTTTGCTAGCCTACCTTTCCTCAAAGAATCTCTGCTAGCCTACCTTTCCTCAAAGGATCTCTGCTAGCCTACCTTTCCTCAAAGAATCTCTGCTAGCCTACCTTTCCTCAAAGAATCTCTGCTAGCCTACCTTTCCTCAAAGAATCTCTGCTAGCCTACCTTTCCTCAAAGAATCTCTTAGCCTACCTTTCCTCAAAGAATCTCTGCTAGCCTACCTTTCCTCAAAAGAATCTCTGCTAGCCTACCTTTCCTCAAAGAATCTCTGTAGCCTACCTTTCCTCAAAGAATCTCTGCTAGCCTACCTTTCCTCAAAGAATCTCTGCTAGCCTACCTTTCCTCAAAGGATCTTTGCTAGCCTACCTTTCCTCAAAGAATCTCTGCTAGCCTACCTTTCCTCAAAGGATCTCTGCTAGCCTACCTTTCCTCAAAGAATCTCTGCTAGCCTACCTTTCCTCAAAGAATCTCTGCTAGCCTACCTTTCCTCAAAGAATCTCTGCTGCCTACCTTTCCTCAAAGAATCTCTGCTAGCCTACCTTTCCTCAAAGAATCTCTGCTAGCCTACCTTTCCTCAAAGAATCTCTGCTAGCCTACCTTTCCTCAAAGAATCTCTGCTAGCCTACCTTCCTCAAAGAATCTCTGTAGCCTACCTTTCCTCAAAGAATCTCTGCTAGCCTACCTTTCCTCAAAGAATCTCTTAGCCTACCTTTCCTCAAAGAATCTCTGCTAGCCTACCTTTCCTCAAAGAATCTCTGCTAGCCTACCTTTCCTCAAAGAATCTCTGCTAGCCTACCTTTCCTCAAAGAATCTCTGCTAGCCTACCTTTCCTCAAAGAATCTTTGCTAGCCTACCTTCCTCAAAGAATCTCTCTAGCCTACCTTTCCTCAAAGAATCTCTTAGCCTACCTTCCTCAAAGAATCTCTGCTAGCCTACCTTTCCTCAAAGAATCTCTGCTAGCCTACCTTTCCTCAAAGAATCTCTGCTAGCCTACCTTTCCTCAAAGAATCTCTGCTAGCCTACCTTTCCTCAAAGAATCTCTGCTAGCCTACCTTTCCTCAAAGAATCTCTGCTAGCCTACCTTTCCTCAAAGAATCTCTGCTAGCCTACCTTTCCTCAAAGGATCTTTGCTAGCCTGCCGTTTCTCATAGAATCTCCGCTGCCTGCCCTTGCAAAATTTTTTCACGACCCATTTAAAATCCCAAATGATCTCTGCAAGCCTGCCCTCCAGCTGGCCCCATCCCTCCAATAAATCCCATAAATTCTCGAACCCAAAACAACGCCATTAGACATGCCGTTTTCGCATTTTTGCCGCTCCGAGGTCCCAGAACGGCTGGGCGAACGAGCAGGCCTTTCCCTTCGATTGATTTGTCCCGGGTCGAGAGAGGGTTTTCGGGCCTCTTGGGCGCACGTAAAAAGTGGGGCCGAGAATGTGAGGCGGAGGAAGAGCGAGGGGGAGGGGGAGATCTTTCCCTCTTGCTGGTCCTTTAAACTATCCCCTCCCCACAATGGCCGAGCAGGAGCTTGGCCCTTGAGGAGGACGGGGTTCTGGAGGCCGAGAGTGAGCTGCTGGGATTTGTGAATTGAGAACGAGTTTAATAGATATGGGCGGATTAATAGAAAATTTTTATTTAATGGCATTGCAAAGCCATTTAAAAAGATAGAGAGAGAGAGAAAGAGAGACAGAGAAAGAGAGAGATGGAGAATGAGTGAGAAACACATATCGAACTTCCCAAAGAATCTCTGCTAGCCTTCCAGCTTGCTCCATCCTTTTAAGAGCCGAAGAGAACCTCTGCTAGCCTGCCTGATCCGAAAGAATATTTGCTAGCCGACCCCTCTCAGCTGGCACTATCCCTTTAAAGCTGACGGTTTCCCGCAGCTTTCCCCAAGAAGCTCTGCTAGCCTGCCCTGTCCAGCCAGCTGAGTCAGAGAGAGAGAGAGAGGGGAGAGAGAGAGAGGGGAGGGAGAGAGAGAGCGCCAGTGAAATAAGTGTGTAACTCGTTGACCAACCCCCATTACTCTGAGCTCTCCGTCTTTTTATCTGGCGCCCCCGGGGTCCCTTGTCGTCCCGGGGCTACGACATGCTCCACCAGGGGGACGATTTCCACATTTCCGGCGGTCGAAATGGGGAAATTGTGAAGGTACCGAGAAACACGGCGAAACTGCAGAGTTCGAGATTTGAGGGATCTAAAATTTAGACGAGAGAGCGAGAGAGCGTGAGACAGAGGGAGAGAGAGAAAGTGTTATATCGTGCGTTTAACGTCCCTTTAATTCCAGCAAAACCACCCTCACCGAAGATGTAAACTACACGACCCACAGCTCGCGCTCCGCGTTCCATTCCGAGACGAGGGAGGAGCGCCAGGATGCCAGGGGAAGATCATCGAGTACCGAGATTGTTTCGGTGAGTTTCTAGCCCACTTTCTCTCGCTCGCTCGCTCTCTCTCTCTCTCTCTCTATCTCTCACCCACTCTCTCTTTCTCTCGCTCTTTCTCCCAAACTATGACTTTCAGGGCTCTGACACCCGCACCCTACCTGTATACATCGCCGTCCAGGAGTATATTGCCGATGCGGTGGGTCCTATACCTGCGCCTAAGCCTAGGCTTACGCCTAAGCCCAGGCCTAAGCCAAGCCTATACCAAGCCCAAGCCTAAGCCACAGCCTAGTTCTCAGCTGAAGCCCAAGCCTAAGCCTAAGCCG